GCCGCCGCCGCCGTTGTCGTCGTCGTCGTCGTCGTCGCCGTCTCCCTTCAGGGTCGGCGGCACCGGCCGCAAGGCCTTCGCAATAAGTGTGGTACGTTCGATCATGAGCTCTGCCCACACCACGCGTTGACGTCCATTGCCTTCCCGCCACTTCGACAAATCCGCAACCACCATTCATGCGATACGCAATGCATCTGCACACCCTCGCCCTGGTTGAGGCTCGAACTATTTACGAGAGAGCCCAGATTCGGTATGCGCCACCGGGATCGCAATCGTGTCTTAGGAAAACGGGGCAGCAGCAGAGAGAGGAAACGAGAGAAAGAGAGAGAGAGAGAGAAAGAGAGAAAGAACAACATGTCTGCCAGCGTGGATCCCAAGCAACGAAAGCGCTGTGAGTGCGCAAGCTATGTGGTACTAGCTATGACGTGCAAGGTCTGTGGTGCAACAGATGTGGTGCAAGCGTGTGAAACCTATGAGGTCCAAGCTATGTGGCGCAAGCTATATGGAACAACATTGTACGTGGTGCAATGAACGTGGTGAAAGCCGTGTGGTGTAAGCCATGCGGTGCTCCCTATGTGGCCAGATATACCTGTACGACCACACTTCGGGCGATAAGGAGGTTGTGGAGGGGGAGAGGTGGGGGAACCAACATCTGACTCGATCGATCTCACTATCGATCTACTCAACGGGACACCACGGGACACCACGGGACACCTCGGTGCACCACATCGATCTCAGTATCGATCTCACGATCGATCTCACTGTCGATCTCACTCAACGGGACACCACGGGACACCACGGGACACCACGGGACACCTGTCGATCTCACTATCGATCTCACTTTTTGGAAGACCCCAGGACACCACGGGACAACTCGGGGTACCACATCGATCTCAATAGCGATCGCACTATCGATCTCACTATCAATCTCACTCTCGATCCCAATATCGATCCCACAATCCATCTCACTCAACGGAACACCACGGGACACCACGGGACACCACGGGACACCGCGGGACACCGCGGGGCACCGCCGGACAGACGGACGGACGGGCGGGCGGGGGAGAATCATTTGTCTTGACTTCGCCCTAGCAACGGCGGACACCACGGGACACTACGGGACACCACGGGACACCGCGGGACACCGCGGGGCACCGCCGGACAGGCGGGCGGGGGAGAATAATTTGTCTTGATTTCGCCCTAGCAACGGCGGACACCACGGGACACCACGGGACACCACGGGACACCGCGGGACACCGCGGGCCACCGCCGGACGGGCGGGCGGGGAAGAATCATTGTCTTGACTTCGCCCTAGCAACGGCGGGTTCATTCCTCTCGCGCGCCCACCCAGCTTCGCCTCGCCCACACGCACGACACGAACGAAACGAAACGATTTCCTGGTTGGGGGTCTCCGTCCCACTGCGATCTCAACCCCCCAACCTCCGACGTGATGCACGTTATGTTGTGGAAGCTCTGTGGTGAAGGCTTTGTGATACAAACTGCGTGGCGCAAGCTAGTGGTGCAAGCTATGTGGCGCAAGCAATGTGGCGCAAGCTGTGTCGTGCACGCTACGTGGTTCAATCCACGTGGTCGAATCTACATAGTGCATGCAGTGGTGAAGCCGGGATCGGGGCAAAATTTGATCGGGATAAAAACCATGCTCGGTTTTTCAAATCACCGGGGGCGCCGCCGAACGGGCCTGCCACGCCTTGGGCGCCATCGGCTTCGCGAGGTAAGAAAAGCGCCCCGGCGCGGATGAAGCCACGGCGCGTATTTGGCCACGCGCACGACCGAGGGAATTCAGCGCCAAGGGCCTTTCACTCCAGAAGGCCCGACGTCAACAAAACAAACTTGAGGCCCAAAGGGGGCCCCAAGGAGGCGGACCGCCAAAACAATCACGCAACCAACGCAACGAAAAAAAACTAAAATGTCAAAAATCGTGTTACTCAGTGACCTCTTCGGCCAAGCAGCACCGCGATAATGCCCAAGACGGCAGTGGAAAAAATAGTCACGCGCGCGGCCAGGCGACTTCCCCGCGCCGCCCCAAGGTTCCCGAAGCGCGCCGAAATAACCGTAGAGAACACCCCGGAAAGTCTTTGGAAAATCCCCGCGCCACGCAAGATCCGCCACCGAACAATCTCGCGGACACCTAGCGCGTGCGCGCGGGCGTCCACTATGGATGCCCAACTCCGGTTTCCGAGACAATCGCGCGCAACCGCCTGGGGGCCTCGGCAGCCTCGCAATTGGCCCAGGGGCCCGCGGGCCCCAGGGAATCGAAGACCGAGTTCGCAACTCCGGAAGCATCGGGCGCGGCGCCAGCCAGTCGCTCGTCTCTGGCTGACAGTAGGACGCCTGGAGACCCGATGAACCCTGAGGAACCGCTTTTCAGAGATTCACAGAACCAGAAACCGGGGCGCGCCAAATTCTCGCGTCCGAACTTCTCTGAGAATCTCTGAAAATCTCTGAACTAGACACCCCGCGTGAAACATTCCCATACACCCAAAACCTCGGAGCTGGCCGAAACTCTCTGAGAGTTTTTCGGCCCG